GACGCCGTTGACCTTGGCCTCGGCACCCTCCTTGGCCGGTGCCGTAGCCTGTGCGCGCAAGTGCACCGAGAGCTTTGCCCGCGTTGCCGATCCGGGCTTGATGTACGTCTGGAAGAACTCCAACATGTCGGCCTTGGTGAGCGTCTTGATATGGGCAGCGTCTTCTTGAGCTGTTGTGATAGCGTCAGCACTTTCCTTATTCCTACATTTATCTTGGGCAACTTACGGAGCTCAAAGTCGTAATATTCACTGGCAATCTGGGCCCAGTGTCTGCTACTCTCCTGGTCCAGATTCTTCAACTCCTCGAGCCTCCGGACAATTAGACTGCGTTTGTGACCCTCAAAGTCTGCCTCAGACATGTTGTCCAACGTGTTGGAGAACAGGTTGAGGAAGGCCTCGATTCTCGATTCAAGGTACTCGGGTGTCCGTTCACTTTGAATGATAAACCTGAAGCCGTACGTGGTAGAGAAGCTTCGAACTCCACTGAAGACGACATAACCGAGCTGCTCCTTCGTTCGCAGCTGGTCAAAGGCTGGCTCGTGAGCCATTTGGTCTAGCAACATCGTCTTGGCTCGTACCATTCTATCGCCCTTGTCGCCGACATAGAGCCAAACTTCGATGCAGTGGTTGACATTGGCCGGATCCTTGAGCGTCTTCTTGTATACGTAGTTCGATCCAGGGGGGATGACCAATGACCGAATCACTGGCCACTGGGGTCGCGGAAGGACGCGAGGCTTCAAGATGGTTTCAATCATGTCGGTGAGCTTGAGAGCGTCCTCCTTGTACAAATTGCCGTGGACATAAGACTCAATGTGGACCTGCGAAAGCATCTGCTTCTTGAACTGCCGGACGTCCTCAGCCGTAATGTTAGGCAGCTCAGCCAGGTATTCCTCCACAACATAATCGCGCTCAGAGTTCAACCACGTTGTGTAGTCAGAGACCTGGCTGAACGGCTGCTGTAGCTCCCAGTTGTTGTATCCACGGTTCAGGCGCTCCTTGATGATGTCGAACCTCTCGTCTCTGATCTTCAGATCCCTGATCGTGATCAAAACCTGCTCCAGGAGTACCGCCAGCTTGTCATTGTACCCGCTTAGGTCAAGGAACAGGCCTCTGGCGTCGAGCGAGACGCTGTACTGCAGGCCTGCAAGCTCGGCATCGTACGAGTACGCCTCCAACGCATCGCGTACCAGATCGGTGAAGAACCTTGCCTTGACAGCATTCTCCGCGGTAGAGTAGATATTGGGGTTGCGACAGCTGATGACCAAGTTGGCCTTGGGCACCCAAAAGGTGTCATCCTTCTTGAACCACGTCCGAGCGAGGCCATCACTTCGGACGACACGCGGCGACAGAGCCGGCTCCTTGACCTCCTTCTTCTCGACCTCGAGCTTCGTGGGGATGAAGTTGTTCTTGTGAGGAAGATGAAGCTCGGAAAGTCTCTCCGACGCAGGGCTTGAGACGGCCTTCTTGATCTCGGCCATGAAGTCCTCAGGGATCTTTTCGTGGCGGTATTCGGTACCGTACCACTTCTCCTTCTGATTCCAGTCACCGGGAAACTTTTGTGACACAATAGTCATACGGAAGTTGTCTGGTCTCAAGCACGCCAAGGCCTTTTCGATCAAACCAGAATCAAACTTCCTCAACCGACTGTATCCGCTAAGTAGCCATTCCCGCGGAAGAGGCTTCTGCATGACAGAGCTGATCTTGCTCGTGAATCGGCTTGCTGGAGTCTTTTGCTTGAATTTGAAGTCGACGTCGGCCATGCCCTTCTGTTCGTCAAAGATCCATTCCTGGGGTGGCGCCTCCTGGAGAAGCGCAACATATTGGAAGAAGACCTTGACAATCTCCTTGTAGTTTTTGAGACCCTGTAACGTACGTCAGCATTCGAAGTGGGGGAGTGTCAAAGCGGTGGTCATCTCATTGCAGGGCTTACCTCCTCTGTCAGGCGAATCTGACAGTCGAAAATACCAGGAGAACCCGGACAGACGGGGTAAGCACCGGCACTCAAGCCATTGGCCCAGCCCTTTTCCTTGACGTAGGCCATGATGCTACCAGGGCCCTCGTGACCGATCAGGTGGCTCACGTAGCGACTGGGTTGCGACTCGTACATCTTTTCCTCGTCGAGGAAAGGGAAGAAGAGGTTCAGCTCGCGAGAGTCCATGACAGGCTTAGCAAAGACTTGCATACCCAGCTCACTCTCGCGGAAGGGCACCTCAGCCTCCCACCTATTGGGCGCTAGGTCCTTGTTGGGAACTCCGGAGAAGAACTCGGCAACCCATGTCTCGAGAACATCCAAAGGCTCTCTTCCCAGAACCACCAACTTCATACGGTTTGCCGAGTAGTGCTTGTCGTGAAACTCCATAAACTTTGCGCGGACATTGACACCCTTGGACTCTGGGTCTTCCTTGAGAACCTCGAGATTGCCGGTCGAGAAGTGGCAAAATGGATGCTTCGGGTTGGAAAGAGACTTCTCCAGCTGGTGGAGTCGCCATTGGTCATTCTGCAGGTTCTTCTTGTTTTCCGAGTCCACCGCGCGCAGCTCACGATCGAGGGTCGACTCGAGGAACAGGGGCTCAATGAAGAATTGCGCAAAGCGATCGAGTGCTCCCTTAAAGGGCGAGGGGTTCTCGGCTGTTGGCTCCTGATCGTTGGCAGGCTTTGCAGAGACGTCGAAGAAGTAGTTAGTCGAGGTTGCGCCAGTGTAAGCGTTGGAGCTGCCCGAGTTGTTGGAGAGGTACTGCGAGTATTCGTTTTCTATGGGAAACTTCTTGGTACCCATGAACAGTAACTGCGCATGCAAGTGTCAGCGTGACGGAGAGCGGAAAAGAGGTTGAGGGTGCGGATAGGGAGATTCTGTGTCTAGGCAGAGTCTCGGGAAGGGGGCCGTACATGTTCGACGGCGTGGGCCATTCCTGGCATTTCCTCCTCGTCGCTGAAGTTTCCAACATTGCAGTCTAGGGCGGCGCTGGCCTTGTCCGTCTCCGGGTCATGTACCAGCAGGGCCTCGAGCTTGTTGGACAACCTCACGACTCGGTAGGTCCGATCGTCGAGGGAGGGGGTCTCGAGGTGATCCGTCACCCGTTCGACGGATTGGGGCCTAGGCTCGCGGTGAGGTATAGCTGAGCCGGCCGGAAGCCCGGCGGCAGCGGTATCGGTGTTGGGCATGGCAACGATCTGCTTGCCGTGATTTATGTGAGATGAGATGGTGGGTTTGCTACTGATGGAGCGGGAGGTTGTATAAGAACGGAACGAGATGGTGGTGTAGGTGGGCGACTTTTCAGAGCAGAAGGTACGGCACGGGGCTGCAGCAAGACGGTTCGGGAGACGACTGCTGATGGCCTGGCACGTTGTGAGAGACAAAAGCTCAGGGCGTGTATGCTTAGTGGGGGAGGAACGCCACTTTTGAAGTAAGAGAGAGAGGGACAGGGACGTGGACGTGGACGCGGACGTGGATGATGTCGGGCGGTTGTGGATTTGTCGCAGGCTCTGGCGCGGGCTCAGGTTGGAGGCTACGGGACGCAACATGCAGCAGATGCAGCCAGGACGGGAGAACTGGAGAAATAGAGAGAGCAAGGTAAGGTGAGTTAGGGCTGAGGGGTAAAATATGCAAACAAGTCGAAAAGAAGAAGAAAGAAGGAAGAAAAAAAGGAGCTGCAAATAGGAGGCGGTATGTAGAGAGTATGTAGGTAAGGTAAGGTACGGATGGATACAAGTCGGTTGGTTTGTTGGTGCGAGTGCGAGTGAGTGAAAAGTGTCAAGACTCAAACCTGGAGGTACAAGTAAGAATACCTTGGGTAACTGAGGTACGCTACCTTGCGTAGGCAACGGAACACAGTCAGTGGAGGTACTTTAGCCGTGGGACCGGGGATGGGGACGGAGTACCTCAGCAGTCAGTTGCAGTCAGTCGCAATCGCAGAGGACCAAAGATGGGAGAGGATGAGGGGAGTTGCGACTGGGGGCGGCCGGGAAGATGCTGGCGGGTTGGCTTGCTGTGCGTGCAGTGTGTGCAGCGCAGATGCAGGCGGGGGGAGCAACGAGAACCTACCTTGAGCAGGTGCAGTGGATGTGCAGCTAAGGTGCAGGGAATCGGAAGGAAAGAGCGGAAACGTTTGGCGCAAGTTGCGCCTTCCAATGACACAGGGCATCCACTGTTAGCACTCGCCGCAACTTACAATGGAACAGCGCTGACCGGTGTGCAGGCTCCCAGGCAGTGACCAGTCAGCAAGACTTCCAGTACTTTCGAGGGTCCAGTCTAGGTACCATAGGTACTTGAGCTGGGGTGGAAGGAGGGGAGGGGGCCCACCGGGGGGAGAAGAAAGCGAGGCGAGATGGGGGAAAGACTCGAAGAAATCTGTCTTTCGAGCTGCTGCTGCTGCTACTGCTACTGCTACTGCTACTGCTACTGCTACTGCTACAGACGACACCTCACATCTCACTCATCTGACGCGAATGATGCGACGACTCATGCCGACTGGGCAGCGGCGACAAGTGAATGGACAGGCCACAACTACATGCAACAGCAGTTACAACTGACAAGCAAGCAGAACGAGCATCCCCAAGACTGAGCAACACAACCTCAAGGCTCACCATGAAGCACACTACCACTACCAACACCAACACCAATACCACCATCACCGCCGCCACCGGCAATCTCAGATTCAGAACCAAAGAAAGGGACCGTGCCCACTTGCCTGTGGAGACGCAGGGCGACGCCACGACGCTACCGCCGTACGACCCAAGGTACCGACCAGACGGAATTTGGAAGCCATGGACGGAAGCGGACACTCTGCTTGCTGATCTTTGAGTCTGGGCAAACCCGGCAAACCAGCCTACGGTTATACTATGCTGCTCTGCTGGGAAGGTAGCACTCGTCAGTCAGACCTACCTACTTCGCCAGGCAGGTAGGCTTGCGTAAGGTATCATGGCGGCAGTGGCAGCGGCAGCGGCAGTCCATTGTCCAGTGGTTACAGTCACTCACCATCGTCTCCGCTTCCGCCTCCGCCTTACCTTTGGACCTGATATTCGGTTCGCGGTGACGGAACCGCGGTTCTAGCTGGAGAATAGCATGGAAAAGCCGGAGAAGACGGCTCCAGCGGGATCATGTTCACAAGGTGCGACAACCGGGCTGCTGCTGGTGGTGCTACTGGGTTGGCGTTGTTGCAACAAATGTGCTGGGCCCATTTTTTGCTACAGCTGAATGATTTGATAACATGATGTTGATGACGGCTCGTTGATGGAGACTGCGGAAGACCCGAAGGTGTGGGCTGCCGTCTCTGAAACATCCGCCTACTGCCGTTCCCGTTCCGTCTACCACTGTCGAGGTATCCAAGGTGCGAAGATGGGCGGGCAAGGCGGGATCTTTGGAAAGCTGGAATGTTCTGAGCCCATTGCCCTAGGAACGTATCCGTAATCAATGCCGCTCGCAAAGCTGACGCAAAGCCCCTGCTTGATCCCATGGCCTAATCGCATTCCTCCTGGAGTCGGGCGCGGGATGTGCTCAGGTTCAGCTGTACCAGTAGCTGGCTGTGAAGCATGACATCTGATATATGTGTCAGACCTATTGTCGGGCCTTTGACTTACATCCCCGTCATCTGCCCTCTTGGCAGCAAAAAGACGACAAATACGAGAGTCATTTCAGACAAGAGATCAACATGGACGCGTCCAGTTGGAACTGTTCCTGAGTAGGAAGCCGTGAAAGCCTCAATTCCATCACACCCTCCCTCTTGGGGTATTATGGCCTTGTCGCTGGGTTACCCCAGCCGCCTATGGCTCCACGTGGGAAAAGAGGCGGTTGTCAGGTCCCTTTGAAACGAGGCACACACAGTTGTTCGGCGAGAAAAGCCAGCGCAGCTGATTAATGGCACACAAGGAGCCAGCAACCCGGTGCTATATGAGCCGCATCTTAATTTTAGAGGTTGGAGGGTGGAAAAGACACAAACATCGGTCTCCATATCCGTACACCAGAATGTAGGATGCAACTACTAGGCCCAGTGCAGCTACTGCGCAAAGGCCCGGTAGTCAGTCCCCTAACCCCCTGGTGCCCAGGCTGCAAAGCAATGTCGCCGTCTTTGGGTTGCAGGACGGCAAAGTCTTGCGTCGGTCATCGGGTGGCTTGCTTCCAATGATTTCGCGTCTTATCCCTCTTTCACCTACCCAACTACGGTAGGGCAAGCGTGGCCATCCCAATTTCGCCGCGGGTCTTTGGCGGTGGTGGGATCATTTGATATCGAAACCGAATGATATCGACAATCCCTTGGGGGTATCTTTTGGGCCTGTGGACGCGGGGCGGCGGGAGCGGACCGGCCTGGGGAAATAAGGGACGGGCGGCGACAAGGGGGACCTTTGAGCTGCCGCGGCGCCGCGGTCACCGGTGTAACTATCGAGCAATGCTGTACGGATACAGGGGTCATTTTTGGGTTATTCGTTCCAGCATGCCGACCACCGCCCTCTCGGTATTGACTGGTTGCTGTTACGAATACTGCTGCTCGCCTCGTTGAGGTTGTCTTCTGTTGGGGGTCACTTGATGATCTTGCTCTCGCTCTACCGTGGTTCGCCGAAGGCTTCTTCTGCAGAAGAAGCAATGGGCGCGGGTGGTAAACTCGGGCTGGCCCGCTGTCTCTGGTAATTTCCCCTGATAATCTGTTCTCGCCCTGCGGTCGATTTCGTTCTTTCTTGTTCTCGATCCCACCCTCCTCGGCCAAGGTGCCATTCGGATGTCGACCGTTGCGCGGGATGGGAAAGTTGATGCTCAAATGCAAGAATACGTGGCGATGTTAGGGGTACAGATTGTCCGGCCGGGCTGCGGAGTACTCCTCGAAAGCCTCGCAAAAGGGACCATGGTCCATGTTTCTGAGGTTCTCCCTTCCCCTGTTAAATCCCGTCAGCCCCAGTTGGGTTTGTTGGCTGATGAGCAAAGATCAAGGGCAAGGCGGTGACAAGGGAAACAGAGCCCCTGTGCCCGTAGTCGGATGTAGCAGTTTTCGGGTGCCAATCGCCGAAGAAGAAAAACTGGCGAGACAGGCGGACAGGGGGTGGGCATGCGAATGTTTCGCCGTTCGGGGAGAAAACATACAACCCCCCTTGTCTTGCGTCTTTCCCGGCAATCTGGTTGCGTTTTTGGGTTCCCAGGGCCGTCAGCACCGTTCGGAGTACTGCTAAACACCTAGGAAAGCTCAGACTTGCTTGGCTCGCGGCGATGTCAACTTGAAAGTACTAGAGCCCGAACAACGTCGAGATAAGCAAAACTGCGCGGGTTGTAAGCAACTTGCAAAGTAGTCAGTCCAGCTCGTCGGTTTATCCTTCCATCAGGGGTGCAATTTGGATACAGACCCGAGTGAAAGAGGGGTCGTCGGCAACTTACAGTCATGGTTCAAGATCCCATGTTCCATACCCATGAAGCTCCAAACTTGGATCGCCAGGACTGTTTGTTGGGAATACTCAAGCCAGTATCGTGTAATACTGCTGTCAGCACCACCTAGGTCAACGTGATATTCCTCGTCAACCCAATCGCCCACACCAGGCAAGGGCCCACCGTGGAAAACCATACCAGTATCCTGCGGACATTGTGCATGGATGGAGCCATCGTGGTGGTGTGGTGCTGCTGTTCGCATTGGACGAACCTAGTCTGCCACACTATCTTGCTCACATGCTTCTTAGGATACATAAGAGGCGATCGCCTGGATCTATTGGTATGACAATCCATAATCACTCACATCTCGACTGGAGCAACAGATACCAGCACACGTGTGCCATGAGAGCCTTGACAGATTAGTGAGCATTCGCAATGCAGCCTCAAACTGTGGGCGGCGATTCGGATTCGATCCGCCTGGCGGGATGCCATGCCGCTCCCATGCATGGCCGACTGGATTTCTCGGCATACCTGTAGTCGTTCTGGCCGGTTTTGACAGACAGCAGACATGGCGTTGATTGTTGATCTTATATCGACCCTACAGCCTCCCCACCTGCATCTTTGTAGGGAATCTGAACTTTACGGGTATCCTGATCGCGCAACCCACATTCCGTGTTGATACCGACACGTTAATATGGGATGATCAAAACAGAAGCTGTAAGTATTCGTACTGTGCAGGTTCAATAATCTTCCCGGTGCCTCAAGCAAGCGATCCGCGGGTGGCCAAACAAGCTGTGTTCAGAAATCCACAGAAGTCGAAACTGCATACCATCCATGATCAGTGTCCGCTAACAGAAACAGACCATGTAACCATGGCCCCGCCCTCGCTTCCACGAGGTAGTCTTCCACAGCTGTGCTGACCATCAAACCTTATGGGCGCCAATGACTTTGAGATCCCCCGATTCCATAACCGATTCGTTGCACTTCTCCGGATAACAGGAAAGGCGAGCTGAGCGAACTGGCGGGCGTCGGACGTAACTCCGAGGGCAGTCGATTCGACCAAGCCGTCTATTGTTTCTCGGTACGGATACTCAAGTGCGCGAGTACATCTTCTGGTCCGTCGTTCTGGATCGGCGAGTCATTCCGTCTTCCCGGGCGCCCACTTTGGGTATTTGTTGAACCCGCAACGAGCACGACCCGGCTTGTCCCTCTTGCAGACCGCCGCCCGTCAATAACTGACCGCTGCTGAACCATGTCACCTTTTACTCCTCTCCTCACGTCTGACGTTGAGTCCCTCTTCTCAACCCCTCTTCACTGCGAAAATAATAATGCCCGGTCGCCTAGTTCCCAAGCAAGTGTGCGGCTGCGCTATCCACAATAGGGAGATACGGCCGTCCCTTGTCCAGGTCTGACGATATTCCACACATTCGGACCTAGGTACCTAGGTACCTTGCGGGGATGTTGGACTACCATCATCGCCCTCTAAGCCCGGCCTGTCATGACGATCGCGACTCGAACTTGGTTTCGCAAAGGTGAAAAGTTATGAACGAATTTAAGGAACCTCGAGCAGAGCCGATTCGAGGTTTGTAGTTCAAAATACGGAGAGCTGCAGCCGCTGCTATAACCAGAGTGGTTGGTTGACAAGCGACTGCGTCCGGGTGTTCTACATCAAGTCAAAATTGAACGGCATTGGGCCAAAAGAAACCTCCCTCCTCTCGCCGTTGTCCCTCTCAAAGTGGCAACCCTAAAAAGGCCGAGTTGATAGCCCTGGCTATGATAACGGTCGTTAACTGCAACCTGGATGCAACCTGTACTAAGGTTTCCGCCGTTTCAGTGGCACTTGACCATCGAGCTGATTTGCCGATCAAGATCCTTTGCATCGGTTTAGCATCAAGTAGATGTATATTTCCAAGCCGTGGTTGTCCATATGCAGCGACAGTGTTTTCCATACTTTGCGATGGGGATTACCATTCGACACCAATGTTACGAAAATGGCTCCTGGGGACTCGAGCGTTGACTTTTTGCGACGATCAGCGTGTCCATAACACGATAATGGCTCTCAAGGAGGGTCGCAGCTATGGCTGGGTCACCAGCGGCATATCCTTGGAGTACCCTACACAGCAGATGTAAGCTTGTTTATGCGATAATAACATGATCCCGCTATCCCTTAGTACATGAGATTCGGTAGAGAAGAGATGGAGAGTTTTTGCGGGCGAAAGCATGTCACCCCACCATCCAAAGTTCGAGTGTCCCGGGGCGCCGGCTGGTAACCCCCAGAGTTCCCGCTGTGCCGTTTTGGGTGAGCCGCTTTGTACCACGTAGGAGATCGACATCTCACACGCGGGCTTCTTTCCCGTGTCCGAGGAGGCTAAGAAACGAAAGGTCGGCCGATGCATTAGATTCTCATCGAGATGTAGGAAAACGTGTCGACAGGGCTTCTGTTCGCCTCATCATCGGCAGTTGTGGTTGTTTTGCCCGGCTGCCATCCCCAAAAAGACGATTGACGAAGGGGGCAGATTGTGTTCCAAGCCGGGCAAACGCGCCTGTTCCGCGGACCTTGATTTCTTGTCAGTATATGTGCAGACGGTAAGGCAGCTGTGTGTAGCCTGGTGCCTGGCTCTGGAGACAGCTCATGCCGTCTATCATTCAAGTTGATCAGCTTCTGAAGCTCAAGACGTTTAGATCAAACAGACCGAGCCAGTTCGTTGGCACCAAGGCCATTGTTCGGCCATATTCCATGCGCGAAAACAGGAGATTTGGTTGGTGGTCATTTCTTTTCCATTCAGGTTGCCGGTCCATGTCGGGCTTTCGGAGCCCGGCGCGGGAGGCAGTGCGTATCTACGTGTTGCATTGATCGAATGTCCGCTCAGCAGGATTCTTCTGTCAATCCCATAACCCATTTCCTCCGTGATCTCTCGCAAGGCGAGAGCCCGCTGTGGAATCGACAAAAAATTTGCTCCTATTTCGCGAAGCCGGAATAGAAGAACCGGTCAGCAAGCCAAATCCGGGCACGAGGGGTATCTTGAAAATAAAAAAGCACGCTTGGTAAGACAGACGTTCATCGTGATCTATCAAACGACTTCCGCTTGCCTCCTCGTCGCTGTGGGC